ATGAGCATTTCTTTGTTCTCTTTTTCTATGTATGTATGTATGTATGTATGTATGTCAGCAAAAATAGCCACCATTCAGTGAATACATAAATGCATAAGTACAGGTACTTTTTACATTTTTACATATATTATGTAATCTTCAAAATCAGAACCAACAAGATGTTTGTTTTTGTTACCACATTTTTACAGAAGAACAAACAGAGGTGCCAAGAAATTAAGTTGCATGTCTAGGGTCTTACAGCTATGTGATAGAGCAGGATTCCAGACAGCAGTTCACAGTGGAATATGGCAGATGTGAGGAGGCTGGGACCTCTGGGACATACACCTCATACTCCATCACAGCATGAGCTGTGATCATCACAGTTACTTGTGATATTTTTATTTTATTCCACTTGTGCGTTTTATTAAGCCTTTGGAGTAGGCAAACATTGAAGTTGAGAATATATAGCCTATCTTCCAAATGGCACTAGTTTTGTTCTCTGAACTCTTTACTGATGTTTTTAAAAATGTGTTTTTTGGATTTAGAATCTTTTGTTAAAGCAAGTTGTTGACATGTGCAAAAAATTACTATGTCTGGTTATCTTTTTTGTTGGTTGTATGGTTTAATTTTTGTGTTTTTGATGCAAGTCTAGAAAATAGGTTTGTATCATAAAAATACATACACACCTATATACATGTACACATGGAGGAAAAAATAGTAGTGCTTGTTATAGAAAACTTAGGAAGCACAGAAAGAACACAAAAGAAATTAATCTCCCCTAAAATTGAATATCTAGCCACCATTAACTTTTGATCTGTGGCCTTCCAATACACATTTTTATTGTCAAAAATAATAACCTGCTATATTTTTTATAGTACACTGATTTTTTTTCCTTTAGCAGTGTATAATGAACATTCTCCATGTTAACAAATATTTTTCCACAACTGGGTTTTGTGAGTAACTTGATAGCCATCATCTAAATGTGCTGTAATTTAATTATCCTGATCTTCCACATTTTGTTTGCTGTATTATTGCTGATGATTTTCATATGACTTGTGCTGTTATTGGCATTGGAAATCATAAATTAATTCCTGGACATTAATATCTCTGAGAAGAATAATTTTGGAATCATTTTCACTCAAACTATTTTACAATTTTGAGACCTTAACAAAAGACACCTTAACTGTCACCTGGGGTAGTCTCTGATGGGCCACATCTCTTCTACAGCTTTCCTCACAGTGAGCAGTCGCTGTTCCAGATGTAAGACCATAGCCTCTGCTCTTCAGTGTATATCCTGCTTTATATGCTCTTGTATTAGGCATAAGGAACTAGATTCTGACACAAATAGATTTTGAAAAGTTGCTTCCGAAATCTTTAGAAGCACTGTACTTCAGTCAGCGTGATTGAGAATTTGGGAAGGAAGTTGGAGGCAGGCTGCCGGCAGGATAGTGCAGAATGCCACTTAGCTAGTAGAAGCCAAGTCGTGAATGCAGACAGGCAAAGCGTGTTCTCTGATTTGTGTGCTACAGTTATTCTAATTGATTTCTGCATACTTGTGGATAGGGATCTGCCCTCTTCCATTTATTTTTCTCTTGACAAGTAGGATGTGAAATGTTGTTCCATGCCTTTCTAATTTAAATGTTGCACATGTTGAGAACTGATCTTGCCAGCCATTTTAAGCTTGGCCAAAAACATAACACATTGTTGTTATTAGCCTTCATCCTTTGGTTAGGGCCAACATTCTGTTTGGAACTCTAAAGGAGTATAAATCTCCTTTATAGGCATAACCTATTTCAGCCATAAAATAGATACAATGAGACAGCAGAGCTAAGTTTCCTTGGTGAGCTGCTTTGGTCAGCCTCCGTGGGCTGGCAGGGTCAGGGATGCTCGTTTTCAGAGTATTCTTAGGAAGCAAGATTTCAATTTAATTTGCCTTTTATATGAATATACTCCCCAATGTGCAAGGTACTTTAGGAAGTGCAGTAGGAGAAACTAAGATGAAGATGACAAGGTTCATGTTCTTTATCCAGCCGAGAAAAAGACTTGGAGGACGTAATATAAGGCGGTGTATAAAAGCATGTTTATCAAAGATCAGAGAGAGCTTAGAGAAGCAAAACATTACCTCACAGCTTGCATTCAGGTTATGGACAATGTCCTTGAAGCCATCTGCAGCCCACTCTGCCTGCCGGCTGAGAGAGCCCTCTGTCTCGTACACATGTGCACCACTATTTTTCAAATGTCTGTAGAGGCTCTGGTGCTCAGCAATGCTTTTAAATGGATTTTTGTTTTGTTACCCTTATTGTAGCTATTGTCATACTGTGTGTTTTTCAACTAGTAGATGCTACACTCAAAGTCCCATCATGGGAATCTGTACACTTTTTTCATGTTAAAAATAGGTTCAGTTATTTGAAGATTGGGAACCAATGTCTACAGGAGTGCTATCCAAAAGAACTTTACATAATAGGGGAAATGATCCCTATTGTCCAATACAGTGGTCATTTACCAACTGCAGCCCATGAAGACATGAAGAATGGTTAGTGAGATGGAAGACTGAATTTTAAAAGTTTTGTGTGATTTTAGTTTAAGTGGCCACACATGATAGACAGAAACTACCATATAGAACAGAGACAGTGCAGATCTAGAGTCTCCCTGCATCAGTAATTTTCTGAACCCTGTCTCCACAAAGTTTTCCCTGTTCTACCTCCTCTTAGTTTGTTTGCAACCCACAGATGTGTTTGAATACCAGGCCCATTTTCAAGTTGCCTCTGTTTCTCAAAGTTCTTTAGACCAAGAGAAAAAATACCTAATGAAACAATTTTGAAACTTTCCTTATCATAGCAATAAAAGGCATTCTACTTTCCCCTTTTCTGTCAATCTCATCTGATTCTCAGGGGCCTTGAAGAGATTTCAGTACATTTGGGACACTTGAGCTAATTGTTTTCATATTTGGTTTGTTTCAAAATTCATACAGCATAATCCTTATTTTAAAGGTTGTTTATTTGATAGGCAGGGTAGCTATAAATAATTAAAATATTAGAAACAGATCTAAATGTTATTTGGGGCTCTCATTAGACAAGAAATTTTCCTTCTCATGTGTTTTTCTGTTATTAAGGGTAAACAAGTGATCTTCATTCTCTAACTTACTCAAAACAGTTAATACAATTTGTAGTACTTTCAAGTTATATATCTTTCTCATGACTCATAGCCTTGAAGTCTTTTAAGACCATCATTGACAGTAGCAATATAGATTATAATGGCTTCTTTTAAGGCAACAAAATCACAAGAAGATGGCCAGGTATCTCTGAGCATAAACTTTACCATTTATATTTATATTGTAATTGATATTCATTGTAAATACAGTTCTAGTTTGATTGCTGCTAGGTAACTCTCTTACGATTACATTTCCCAAAAGATTTTTGTCCTGTACTATTTTAAAACAAGATACAGAAAGAAAGCAATGGTTTGTCAAAAAAGGAAAATGACCCAAAGGTTTTGGAACACATACTATGAGGAGTTGCCATCAATATGATAAATTCCTCTCATGGACCATCCTGGAAAGCAGTCATTGTAGTGAAGTCTTTCTATCTAGGAGGATTTTCTATCCCAGCTACCCACTAGGGGTGACAGCCATATTACTGTTCTCTTGATTCTTTCTGGGTAACTTTCTCCTACTTTCCTCATCTTTCTTCTTTGAGGCCAGAGGCTTAGAGGTTTCTCGTAATATCAGATCGAGATTTTAAATGTTTCCATTGCTGCCCAAGAAGTCCAAATATGTCCTCGCAGCTCCTGCTGGCCTATACAGTCTCTACATGTGCCAACAGGAGAGGAAGCTTAAAGGCAACTGGGTGATGCCCGAAGGGTGTAAATCCCCAGCTAGTTGACAACAAAATGCTGATAGTAGAATCATAATCCCCATTCCGCATATCAAGACTCTTCTACACTTCTACTCTATCCTTCTTTTATAAATTTCTATTGACAAAAAAAGAAAGAAAGAAAGAGAAAGAAAAGAAAAAAATCCAGACAATTGATTCTGACATTAAAAAATTCAAATATCTTTTGTGGCATTTCCTTTAGTTGAATTTGTCTCATGTTAATTAAGCAGATTCCGCTGTGGTCTGCTGATCTCCTTTTTAAAGCCTAGTGGTGGTTGTCTGAGGTGGTCATAGATTCATGCCATGATGTTTTGGGGCTGGATCAGGGAAAGAAAATACAAAAGAATGCAGCACCAGGAGGATGCCAGCCAGATGAGTAGTTTACATTTGCAAATACAAAATATCCTAAATTTGCTTCCTTTTCAATGCTAGAATAAATACAAAAGAATAAAAATGGCAATTCAGTCTTCTCTCAGCCCCCAGGAAGAATACCAGTTCATTCCCATTCTTTCCCTAACTTCTCACCTCCTTGGTAGAAAATAGGAATGAAGAAGTATAAGCTGAGACCCCTCCAGTCTTTAGGAGAGGATCTAAAAGAACATCACAGTCTAGGGTCTACTGCACCTTTCCCTCGGGCCGCCACCCTTCCTGTCTCCTGTATCTCAGCAGGTATGGATGGGTGTTTTCAAAGAACAGAGTCCTTCTCTTTGGCATATCTGTACAGAAAATAAAAAAATAATGGGCAGTATTAGTCAATCCCAATCTCTAGAGCTGTTGATGAGTCAAAAAACTCCATGACCTTCATGTGTCCATTTTATATATTTTCATTCTGGTTACAAAATTATACCAAATTATTGTGTCTTCTACATTTTCCTTTATGCTGTTTGAGTCTATATTTATTTCTTTGATTAGAGTATCTTAGCCTGAAAGCCTCTGATCTTCACTGTAGGAAACTAGTACAAGGCTAATCATCTATCAGCAAACCTTGAATTGCTGGATGTTTTAGTAATTGCCTTCAAATGTAGTAATGAGATTGCAGGTTTGATGAAATGCTTATAAATGGTGGCTTTAGGGAAATCAACCTATTTCAATATTGAATTCCAAATTACTATGTATTAACACATCTGTCTCCTGACTTTTTTATTTCAGTACCTACTAGAAATGAAAAGTTTAATCCTGCCCCCAGAACATATCCTGAAGAGAGGAGACAGTGAAGCAATAGCATATGCATTCTTTCATCTCGCCCACTGGAAGAGGGTGGAAGGGGCTTTGAATCTTTTGCATTGTACGTGGGAAGGCAGTAAGTAATTTCTTTCTTTGAAACATTTTTTAAGAACATGAAAAAGTGCTAAAACTGTTTTTGCCCCAAGTGTTCCTAATGAATAATGAGGATTTGCATGTCTTGCTCTGTTTTCTATGAAGGCCCATCACTAAGACAGTTAATTACTTAGGTGCTCCAGTTCTCTAGTAGTGGTGGGTATGTGTCATCAAACAATGACATAACTCTTCAGACTTGGAAAGGCAAATTTATACAATAGATTGAATAGATCTGGACTGTTCTGGAGAACCAGTCTACTATCCTAAAAACTTTCTTAGGAGACTTGGACATTTCCTTAACATCATAAAATCTTTAGCATGGAATTAGGCCTTGTGCTAGACTCTGATTACCATTTCTTGATGGTTTTTCTAGGAGAGGTGGATAAAAGCCACAGTAGTTCTACACTGTAGCTAGGTTGGCCATCTGCAAGGGCAAGGCAGGTATGTTTTGGAACAAGAGCAGAGGCTGCTGGACTCTGGCGTGTGGTGGGAAGTGTTGCATTGTTATAATAAATATATTCCTGGTATGTTGGTGGGGGAATAAATATGTCTGAGTACAAGCTCCCTACAGATATTATTCATTCTGTGTAAGGCGAGGAGGCTCTGTTGGCAGGTTAAACAGTCTCTTTGTCCTGGAGAAGTGTGTAGTTGAGTTGGGAGGAATGACCAGCAGCAGGTGGCAGCTGCCTGGTGATTTCTCCAGGGTGGAGCAGCCATGGGTAACCTTATGAATCAGATGAGATTTGGACTGAGCCTTGATGGACCAGGACAGTAATGTAAGCAAGGACACAAAGTGAAGAAATGGTCATAAATGGGGCTATTTGGGAGAATGTAAATTTAGGAAAAGCCCTAAGATTATTAGACAACATGTGCATTAAAATTCTGCTAATATCAATTTAAGCAAAACAAGTACAACATGTACCATGATTTTTTTTCTCTCATAGGAAAACAAAATGATAAATATTAGAATCTTTTGATAATTTTTCCCTAGTTCACCCCTGCTCTGATCTGCCTCACAAACAAGTGTCTTTTTAATCTTTTTCAGTCTGTTTATCTTTTCTGCTTCCATTTTCATTTTGATAATCTTCTTCCTTTTCCTGCCCTTCCATAGCCCAGCTAGAATCCATCTTGATGTAGGAAGGGAGGTAGCAGGGAGAAAAATGGGATTGAGTAAAAATAAGTTTTGGAGAGATGGGACTCAAAGCAGATTGAAAGTTTTTTATTTAGTGGTTTTGACATATTTCTTTAGAGAATTAATAGTGGGTTCACTTATGTATTTTACTATTTATAACCTGATGGATGTTGAGTTTACCAATGTTGCCACCCCTAATTGGTAAGTGTAATAACATACTCAGGTAATCTTGTCAGCACCAGTAATCATATTTGGATATGTACAACAGCACACTCCACCAAAAGTGTGTGGGTACATGCACAATCCCCTCTGGCTTGGGCTACTTGCTGCACTTAAGGTGTTCTAACCAAAAAGGACAAAAGAATTTTTTTATCAAAACATGAGAAAGCTCCTGAAAAGCTCAGCAGTTTTGAATACAAGAAGGCTTATCTAGTGTTAGTTGTGGAAAAGATAAATAGAGAAATTGGTCTACCAAATAAGAACATATTTAGAGATTGGCATTTGATCTGATTGATTAAATTTAACCCTGTAAAAAGAGCCCAAAGAGGGGTGAGGCAAGGTGTGATAAAGATATGGTATTAGGAATGATATCATCATAAAAAATTAAAGTCCTATGGGGAATAACTGAAAATTCTCTTTGTAAATTAGTAACCCAATAATGATGGGGAGGTGCTCTGGATCAACTGGGAATGATAGTGACACTGAGGGAAATGTGAATAGACATAGGGATCTGCAAAATCAAGCAGAGGAATACTATCAGGGAGGTGTGATTGCCTCAATTTAGACTGGCAGAATGCTTTATTAGGATAAAAAGAGGGGGGCGAACTTGTAGGCATAAGCTGTATGTCAAGAAAACCATACCTATAGGAAAAGGAAATTTGACCTTTGATCTTTATCAATAAAAAGTTCCTGTGAAAATCAGGTAGCTGTGATCCCACCCAAAATCAGTTAACTGCCAGTTTTCAAAGATTTCCAGGACATCTGACTTCAGAATGAGAACCATGAGAATGCCTACCATGTGCTAAATGCTTCAGAGGATGTACACTGAAGCAGCATTTGTATAACTGGGTGATTTATAGAGGATTTGCATTTGCATCATTTCACCTACCCTTCCTGATAGTCTTCTAAGTTAGGCAGGACAGAAATGTCAACCTCAATTTCTCAGAAGCAGAAGAATCATTGAGATGAGTGATTTGAGGCTGGGGATATAGCTCAGTTGGTAGAGTGCTTGCCTCCCATGCACAAGGCCCTGAGTTCAATCCCCAGCATCACCAAAAAAAAAGTCACTTGTTGAAGGTCTTGAAGTCCTGTTGGTAGGGCCAGTAGGTAAACCCAGGTTCACTTTTCCTTCATTGCATTGAATAGGTTAAGGATACAAAGATCAGCCAATTCTGAGATAGTTGCTAGAAAGCCCACAATTTAAATTTACATCACTACTTACAGTCTAGGGCATATTTCTGACAGCTGGTTCCCTTCTAGTGTTTAGAAAGTTAACCATTCTGTATAAAATTATATTTTCTTGTTTGATATTAAGTTAAACATTTCAATATAGAATGAGACAAAATTTTATAAAATAAATAATACATATGTATAAACAAAGGAAAGAGACTGGAAATAAATACACTTAACTGTCTTAAGTGGTTACTACTGAGTTGTGGATAAGATTTTTTTTTCCTTAATATTTGTACCTTTCAAATTGCCTACAACAAGCATATGTATTTTCAACAAGCATATATATATATATATATATATATATATAATATACACACACACACATATATGCTTAGAAATATAATTTTTATAGTTTTAGAAATATAATCTTTCATTACAAGTGCTCTTGGTTACTATGAAAAAAAAAAGCTATAGGTCTGCCATGCAATTTTTTTGTAGTCAGTAATTTTTTTTAAGTCTTAACACAGTAATTGTATAAATCAATATACCTCATTGTGGCATTTTTGCCATGCAGTTTAGAAGAAAGAATTACCACTCAAGCTCCAGACAATTGTCTGCAATCTCTTGACCTCACTTCTAGATCTGTGTTCATTCTGAATTACATTAGAGGTTCAGAGTTCTGTATTTTAAATTAGAGGACTTGGATTAGAATTCTGACTCAGTTGCTTTAGTAGTATTTACTTAACTTACCTAATTTTGGGAAACCATAAAGCACTGATGACATTTAATGCCTACCCCACTCCAGTTTGGTGGCTTCAAAGTAGTTGCCCCAGCTCCCTCTCAGGAGGTCTGCAGGCCTGGCCTGCATCCTGAGCCTGAGCCCAAGAGGCGCACTTCTCCCAGCGCACCACTTGGTGGTGCCTCTTGACATCTCAGCCTCATCAGCTAGGTTTTGTCCTCTGAATCATATTTTTCTTCATTCTGAAATTCAAAGCCATTCCTCAACTCTCACCCAACTTCCATTTTTCATTAGAAAGAGAATATAGGGAGAAGGATAATACTGCCCAATTTCAGCAGATTCAACATTAAAAAAGTCAGATTATTCTTTGGAAATTTTTAAAAAGTCAGTCGGTTAAAAGTGTTGGTTAAGAGGTAGTGGTGGGGTTTTTTGTTGTTTTGTTTCTTGCTTGTTAATGAATTTATTATGTTAGAGCATTAGTCATCCTGTGTAATTAAGTGAGTTTTCCATCAATCAAGCTAAAAAATTCCTATTTTTGATAAAACCCCAAAGTCTTGCTAATGTATAACAGAGATTGTTTGGGTTTGAAACATATGGTAGTTAAAGAAAAAAAATCCTGAATCCTCAATCACAAATACATCAGCATTTCAAAGGTTTCCAAAATGTTTGATTCATCACTGTACCAGCCCCTGAAATTACACAATATGTTCCTCAAAGTCAAGATAATTAAGAAAGGGGAAAGTTTTAATTTATAAGATTTTATAAAATGTTTCTTGGATTATTACACAGCTGCCACCTTATCTGAATTATGCTTATTTTAAACACTGCAGGTTCTGGTTATCCTCAAACACACGCACCCCTGCCAGTATGAGCTGAATATAAAAAACATATATGAATGAAGGGTCTCATTTCAACTCAGTCTTATTTACAATGGTATTGCTCCTTATGGGGTCCTGTTTTAAATGGCACATCTTCTGCTTCACCTGTATTAAATACTGATGTGCTCTTATCTCCCTCCTACTGTCATCTTTTCAAGGCTCTATTTTGACTCTATTTATTTTATAAAGCCAGGTCATCTCCTGACCACAACTGTGAACTTTAATTTTCTCATTCTATATATCAGAAGACTAGTATGCCATGGGGTAAATCACTTAGCCTTTGTTTCTTTCTTTTTTTCACTTAACCAATTATATTCTTTTTGAAGTCCCCCCACCAAGAATCCACTAAATATCCACTAAATAATGTATAAGATTTGAAGATGGTGTTTTTTAGGGGGACTAAGGCAGGGTATTTCCTTTGAGAGGGGAAAATGGCCCATTGTTGAAGCATAGGATGAGACTGTGATTCTAATTTATTCTCTTTGAACCTAATGGCAAATACCCCTCACTGTAACATGTGGTTCTTAAGCATTTCCTCCAAGCAAACCTTTCCTCCATAAGGCTGGCACCTTTTGGACTACTAAAGAGAGGACCCACCCTGCCCCCCAGTAGATTCAAGAGGAGCATAATAGATCCATTGTACACTTTATAATTTGGGAGGAAGAATGAATGGTCACGGCTAGCTTACCCTGAGCCAGTTCCCCACCCACTGCCCAGCACAGCCAGCTTGCTCCTTCCCTTTTGTCAGTGTGATGGTTAATCTGAATTGTCAACTTGATTGGATAAGAGATATTGACAATAAGAGGTTTCTGGTTGTCTCAGTGAGCATGATAGCCTCCAAAACTGAATGTATTCAGATACCTGAGTTGTTTATTTGTTTTTTTATTTTTCTTAAGAGATAGGATCTCCCTGTTGCCTAGGCTGACCCTCAACTTCTGGGCTCAAGCAATCCTCATGCCTTAGTCTTCCCAGTAGGTGGAACTGCAGGCAGGTGAATGCTTCTGTGCCTGGCTTTACCTGAACTTTTAAAGAGACTTTGGTATTTTCCTGATTGTATATTAATTTATTCATTCCTTATTGAGCAAATATTTATTTCATTTATGTGTCAGGCATTGTGTTTGGGGATAGGAAGACAACAAAGACTCTGAAATGCTTTGTGAGAAACACTAACATGTGTACACACACACATGTGCATACAAACAAGTGTGTGGGGGGGTGTGTATGTGTGTGTGTATGGGGGGAGATAGAGAGTGAGATAGTGTGGATACATGCAGTACTAACATGAAAGTAGGAACAGAGGGTTAAAGAGCTGAGGGGTGCTAACAAGATTAGCAAGTCCACTATCAAACCATAGAATTTTTCTTCAAAATTAGGATGGAGCACCATTAAATCCAACTAAGGAAAAATTCTTTTCCCAAGGCTGTTTTCTTCCACTTTTAAAGTGAAAAAGACTGTGGATCACAAATCAGGCTTTTGACTTTTGACTTTTCCTCACTTCTGCACCAAAATGCCTCATGAAAACACTTGGCCTTCATGGTTGTTATTTGCATTGCAGTCAAAAGTAGAACATCAATGATGATAATTTTCTCTTCTACCATTTGTACATATAATTGTCAACAAACAAGCAGAATCTTTATTTATTAACAAGTGTGACTGAACACAGAAAACAGAAACTTTATGTTTAGTAGAGAAGGGAAGGTAAAGAGAAGCCTCATCTTTGCTGCACATCCAGGCACTGTGTATAGCCACCTCGTCTCTGCTGTTGTCCTCAGTTCATTTGCCAGACTTGTGAGGACTGTGGTGTTTTCATTTTACAGCTGAAGAGACAGACAGGAAACAATTAATGACCCACCTAGAGCCATGCACTTTTTGGTGGAGTCAGGTCCTGTTCCTGTAGATGTCACTCTGTTGCTCCCATGTAGACACGCGCCACACAGCCTGTCCCTCTTCAGGGCCCTCAGCACAATGGGAACTGTAGCATTTACTTGGAAGTTTATTGGAACAAGTTCCCCGCACTCAGGCGTGAACTCTGTGAGTGCAGGGACAGGGTGTTCTTGGCTCTCTGTGTGTAGGTTACATAAGAAGGCACTCACATTTTGATAAGTGACCAATTATAAGAGGTAGAACTGGGACTCAAACTCAGTTTTCTCTATTCCAAATAATCTGTATAAAATTCTCTGAGATCCTCTTTGACAAGGTAACATATACAAACGATCAAAAATTTACCTTATATTCCCATCCATATGATGGGTAGGGTGAGAGGTCATTAATTTGTTCACATATCCATCCGTCGGTTCTTTGGTTCTATTGATTCCCTCACTGGTATTGGTAGACAACCTCTGATTGGGACAGCACTGATAAGCTTGGAGCCTAGAAAATGTATTTAGTCAAGGATGGAAGAAAGCAGTGTCATGCCTCAGACTTGATTGTGGAGGACAGTACGTGTTCATTAACTAAATCTCAGCTTCATTTGAACCCTTTAACTGAGATCAACGTAGGAGGAGAGGATGGCACACAAAGGAAAATGCAGAAGTGACATCCATATGCCCTGTATCAACTTGGAACAGCCTTGATGTTTTTGTTTTGTTTTAAACCAAATACATGCGTATTTGTAGTTTCTCTGAAGTGTGGCTTTTCTCAAAGATTTTTAGGAGGTCTGAAGTCATTTATAGAACAGATCTGTTCAAATGACCTTTTGTCATTCTTATTTACACCAACAAATCAGTGTGTTCTTAATTCCTGCACTTGCAAAGTTTCTACACTTTTGGCTAAAGCCACGAGGCTCTCATGGAACCGTTGCATGTCTTTACTGTGAAAAGGACCAGGCAGTGGGAGGTGAGGCTGGCAGAGCTTTTGCAGTGCCTCTTCCTGGCTCTCTCCAGACCTCCCTTGCTTATCTCACACTTTGTTGGACCCTGCACAGCAGGGTGGGTAAAGGATAGAATTGCAAGCACAAATTGTATTTGCTTTTGTTTAGTGAAGCCAAAAGCCTTAATATTATTTTATGAAATCAATGTAAATGACAACTGACATAAGAAAGAGATCTTAAGAGCACCATAAACATCTTTATGATCATGGGAGTAGAAGCGTAATGCAGGCCATGTAGATGGATGGATGGATGGATGGATGGATGGATGGATGGATGGATGGATATTCATTATTCTTTGAATTATATATATATATAATCAATACCTCCACTCTCCAAAAAAGATGAGAACCAATTAGAAGAAGATAAAGACTAAATCAATGCACAAAATTCTGTATGCACACCAAGTACTGGAGAAAAAAAGTCATTTAGCATTTGACTGAAAGACACCAGCCAACCATTAGATTTCTATGGTTGAACACTCTCAAGATCTTGTGCTCCTATATTTCATTTAAAAAATTGTTCCCTGAAGTACAAACTGACTTCAATTTTGAATAAAATTTAACATTCAAATTTATAGCCACTTTGAAAACTAAGGGTTTATTTATATCATATGAACCTGAAAAGATTCTTTAATTATAGCAGCCTGGTTACACATGGAGAATCTGGATTTTAAAAAACTTCCTTGTAGGTTTTTCCACATTTGTTGGATGCTTTCAGAGAAGCCATCATTTATGGGAAATGGTATTAAGATCCTGCTGTACTATAGTTTAAATGTAAAAGCTGTGCTTCCCAGAAGAGATTTTTAGCTTACGCTATAAAAGTCACTAAAAGGTTTTTTGTTTTTTTGGGTTTTGTTTTGGTTTGTTTTCATCTTCTTGAAAGCCTGGTTCTATCGAGAGAGATGCCAGTTCCTTCAAATGATCATTCTATATTAACAACCTGTGCAAGGAACCTCTTCTCTTGCTTGTTCTAATGGGCAAAAGTCATCTTTGTTTGTGTGAAAGGAAAGTTCTGATTGAACGAGGCTGAGCCCTTCATTTTAAGAAGAGTTAAAGTCTGGGGTGTTTTTAATGTTTTAATCTCTGTTTAAGAGGTTTCTGTTATGAGAGGAAAATTGATAACATTTTTACCTCAGCAAACTGCCAGCAAACTGGCTCAGCTCTAATCCCACATTTATAGTGATTTATATTCTCCGTGGCAATGTTCTGTAACCTCACAGTGATACCACTGTGGTGTAGATTGACTGCATTCCAAATGCTGGAATCACATACATAATGTTTTTACTTTTAAATAATATTCAGACACCAGAATAAATACCATATGTGCACTGATGCTGGTTACAATGGGACCTTGTCATTTCTTGTGAGGGAGAACATTCTTTGTTTCTGATTCCTGTTTGAAATAAGTATGCAAAAGATAAATATGTACATTGACAGCATTTTAAGAAGGCTTTCGTAATTACACAGCTGAGAATGTAGCTACAACTACAATTCCTTAAAATGTGGCATTTGAAACAAAAAATATTGCTATATTGCCACCATTCCTCTCTGACACACATGAAGGCCAGGATTGTTATCTGACATCCTGAGAGTAGGGTACAGCTTTTATGTTATACATCTACCATGTGCTGGAGTTAAAGGACATCTGTTAAAGAAAAAATACCTCCATGTTCATAGGAACAGTGAGACTAACATGCTGATGACATTGTAACAGGGAGAATAACACACTCGATAATGGGAAAGGATGGATTGATTGGAAAGCCATAATTCAGTGTGAGGCCTAATGTCATCTGATGCCACAAAAGCAGAATTTAGGTGGCCTGACTTCATCAAAATACAGATAATCAATCTCTCCAGATGCATTTTTCCCCACATGATATTGAAGATTTAAAAGTTTCATAAAGTTTAGAAATACTTCCCAAGTCATGTATTTTTAGATTTTTGTTTTTATCCCTCTTGGTTGGAATTCTAATCCACTTAGACATATTTTTTAAATAGACATGGTAGAATGCCTTTCATACTTGTACATCTGTAACAAGCTCCAACAAGTCAATCTACATTTGCTTCTAGGGGAAGCATTTCAATCCAGGTTTGCATTATTACCATTGGCTGAGCTATATTGAATTAGTGCTTATAACATTTTTATAATATTTTAAAGATGATGTGACCCTAGGCATTGATATTGATGGCTTCCCTACCCCCACTGCACCTCTCTCCCCACCCTGTTCTGTGATGTTTGCCCAGAATATATAGTGTAAGATTAATGTGTGAGTAATACATCATAGTGTATCTCTGACATTTTATCTGGCACATGACTCAGAGTTTGGTAAGTCTTGCCTTCCCTGTAGGAGTGTTCCCATTGTAAAAATGCTCAAAAGTCCTTTTTGAAGCTGGGAAGTTATGAGACAAACATTAAACTAACATATTGTCTCTTCTTTTCAGCTTTTCGGATGATCCCTTATCCCTTGGAGAAGGGGCACCTATTCTATCCATACCCAATCTGCACAGAAACAGCAGACCGGGAGCTGCTACCCTGTAAGTTTCACCTCTTTGTAATCCTCTCTTCAGCCAGGGAAGGTGGTGTGACCAAAGGTGGGGATGGGAAGAAGTGGGAATGATAAATGTTTATAATGTTCTTTGTTTTTTATTACTTTTCTCCCAACCCTTGGCCTTGTTCGATAGCATATATATTAAAGTGAATTATGTGAGTGGGTTGGACTTCCTGCCTCTCAAAGTCTCTCCACAGTCATCAAAGGGATAGACGCCAAAGTACTGAAATGTAGAAAAGAAGGCATCATGTGCAGATTGGTCTGAGCACAGAGAACTCCTGTGTGGGACCAAGACCCACTGTGCTGGTCCATCATGGCACAGGTCAGAATGGTCTGTGCAGGCTAGAGATGGAAGAGGAAGGGATGACTTCAGAAGGAGCTGCAGACGAGCTGTGGATGGGAGGGCAGCCCTTGGATGCTGGCACTACCACCAGAGGCGGAGTCGGGTGGCAGGGCGGTGTGCTTTCCGAGGTGATGCAATGCTCTTGGCCAGAGGGATTTCCCGCGAGCACCTCGTGGATTGCATGGAATGAATTGGCTAACATGTGCAGGGCACACGTGCAGCCTCAACACTGTATGAAAGCACACAAGGAAAACCCTGCCCTCGAGTGCCTTACAAGCCAGCAGGCTAATGACCCGCACCACATGTGGAAAGTATTATTTTGGTTTACTGTAATACAGCATTGTTTTGACAATCCAAGCTAAATAGTTATTATCAAATCATACTGTGTACAAAGATCATGTCCAGGCTCTTTATGTGGCCCTGACTTAGGACATATTTTTCCCCCTCGGATAATAATCTCCAAATTTTGGCTCTTCTCTCTTCTCTGTCCTTTCTGCTGCCACCTTCTCTCTTGTACCAATCCTGGTTATGCCAGTATATTATAATTATGACACAAATAGACACTTGCCCAGAGGAATGGTGTAGCTGTGGAGCTCTGGTGTGCAGTCAGTTTTCAAATGCCAGCTATGTATCTCCTACATGGTGGTTGCTACAAGAATGAAGTGGCAGGAGGGCCTCACATGTTTCCTTGCCAGCCAGATCCAATGTGAGATTTGTTCCCTAGGGAATTTGGAGATGTTAGTGATGTGTTTCTCATTGTCCAAATTTTATTGTAAGAAGTGTCTGGTGCCTCACCCAACATTAGATTTGATTTCAGAAATCCCCTGCTGTGGGCCCACAGTTTACCTTTTGACTCCCCTCTTTAGGGAGATCCTTGTTAAAGTTTACATTTTCTGCTAAAAAAGATGGTTTTCTGAAAAGTACAATGTTTTTTAATGTTTTAATTGAGCCCAATTAAGTTTCCATGGGGATGGATTAGCTATTAGAATAAGATTATAGTTCTTAAAAGAAACTTTATAGGGATGGTCTTTATAAGCCTTAAATAGAAAATTATGGCTCACATTTATTAAATTGAATGCCATAGTTCAAGTCTGGTCTCCCTCCAAAATCTTCTTTGGGCTGAATTTTGAGGATGAGGATAGGAAGAGGGCTGTTTATTTTGCACATTATAAATAAAATATTGCCACATTAGGCCCTAAGTGCACCTCTACCCTATATTTGAATCCCAGCAGATTGACCCACCTAGATGCAGGTAGGCATGCTTGTCTGTGCTTTGTCCCTCCCTGATCCTCTCTACCCTCAGTTTTTAGCAGCGTGGCTGAGGACTCTGAGTAACAACTGCCTAATGGTCAAGGAATGGCCTTTAGATCTGTATATCCCTGGGAATGGACCACTTGGAACCTTTTGGTTAGAGGGCAGTGTTGTTCATCTGCAGTTCCCCAGCCCCCTCCACCAGGGTCCCTGGCAGCTGGTTCTTCCTCCTCCGTGCAGATAGCCCATACCTCCCCTGGTCAGCACTGCACCATGCAGACAGTCACAGGCAGTCACATAATGAGTAGAAAGAGGGAGTCGGTTCTCTTGGCTTTTGTACAACTGTTTGGTTTTCCTCAAACATAGTGTTTGAAGTTTAAAAGTTATGAAGATACTCTAAAGAACACCAGTTTTGCTTTTTTTTTTTTTTTTTCTTTTTCCGGTGATTGTTCTAAGTATATTAATCAGGAGTCTTCTATGGTTGTGTCAGATAACCCTAGCAACCTTGACTCTCACCCCTTGCAGGTTGAACAGGCCAGTGTGTGAGGTCCTTGCTAAGTGTCTATCAGGGCAGCACTCTCCACTGACATACTTAGAGTGTGCCAGGAAAAGTACAAGATAAACTAACATTGCCTCATTATAATAACTTAAAAAATACAAGTTGAAAATGTAGACAGGGTATTTTTCAGTATGCTAACTTTGGACTTTCTAAGGCTTTGTACAATGTATATATGTTTGATAATTAAGATAAAGTTTTGTCATTTCATTTGTGTTCACTTTTGAGAAAGGAATATTTTATAGTAGACATAGTTAGTGCTGCTTTTTTTTTTTTGTCCATGAGTGTTTTATCCCCAAATTAACCCTGTCGTACCTCCAGCTGGAGCAGCAAAAGGCTGGGTCCTTTGTGACCTGTGGTTGTCAGGTGTCCTATCTGTTCCATTTCCCATGGGTTTCAGCCAGAGCTCTGAATAGTCAGTCCACCGGGTAGGAACTCCCCAAAGATGCTCTTTACTCCAGCCCTAATATTCCCTCTGGTCTTCTCCACAGCTTTCCATGAAGTCTCAGTTTACCCGAAGAAGGAGCTTCCCTTCTTTATTCTCTTCACTGCTGGATTGTGCTCCTTTACAGCCATGCTGGCCCTCCTGACACACCAGTTCCCGGAACTCATGGGGGTCTTTGCAAAAGCTGTGAGTGTTTGCCTAAAGGGAAGCCTCAGGGAATGGACAGGGAAATCTGAGGGAGGTAGTAGAAGAGGAATGGGGGATTGTCACACAGAAATGTTTACCAACTGCAGAGTTCACTATTTAATTTCATTATCACCAGTGGAACCAAAGGGTTAAGGGTCAGAGGGAAGTACAGGTAACTGTTGATTCATGCCTTGCTTTCTTCCACAAAATAGATTTCCAAATAATACATAAGCACAAAAACATGAAATAATTTAGGAAATCCTATTAAATGAGAAGTGGGTGGGGTCGTTACTTAGTTTTGTGTATGTTAAATGGCATTAGTTCTAATCTTGGATACTGTGCCTCTACCCTTGTGAAGGATGAGATTTACATTTACAAAGATTATTTAAATGTATTTTTTAAATGTCTGCAGACCTTTGACTTGTTTGGGAATGAACCGTGAGAGGGTGTGGAAGCATACAGTATTAAAATGCTGACAGGACATTGAGAAATAGGGAAATCCAGTGAAAATCTTGAAGGAGGACTATGGAGTAGAGCTTTAATAAGAAAAGCTTCCTGCACTGACAGCCACTTTTTCCTTGTTGAAAACTGATGATTGCATCCTGCTCATGCATGAGGGTAAGGTTCCTGATTGTGCCACAGATGGTTTTCAAACAGAGGGAATAGGAAAAGAGTGTCAGTTATTTCCCTGGAACTCCGTTCAGATTTCAAGGCGAGTGGAATCAGGACTATCTCTAACTGGGCTAGGTTGATTTAATCCCTTTCCAGATGATTGACATTTTCTGCTCAACAGAGTTCAGGGACTGGATTTGCAGGAGTATTTGCATGAGTGTTGAAGATGAACTGGAAATCCCACTGGCACCTAACTGTCACAATTTCCAAATCTGAACTTATCACCCTGCCCGGCCATCAAAACTGCTCCCCCTCCTGTATTCCTGACCTCCTCCAGGAGCCTGCTACGCCCTTCCTTTTTCACTTCCTGCTTCCTGTTCTGCTCAGCCTTCAACCTGGGTGGGTTGTGGGTTCTAACATCCTGAGCCACCAGGCAGACAGTACCTGACCTCCTCTCCTTCCCTTCTTTCTCTCTTACAGCATTTCTCATAGTTCAGGTCCTTGTTCTTTTGCCTGGATGTCTCTAATTGTCTTAACTGGGCTCCTTGCTTCCAGTCTTATCCTCTTTCATACTGACCCAAGAATGATCTTGCTAAATTGCAAATCTAAGCATGTTACTTCTCTGCTTGAGTTTCTCCGTTGGTTGCCTACCTACTTCAGGATAAAGTCCCAGTTCTCAAGCAACACATGCAGGGCCTTTTATCATCTGGACCTTGCTTGCCTCTTCAATCTCATCCCTGCCAATTAATTACTGGATAGACCTGCTCTTCAGCCATAGTGAATTATTTACCATGCACAGATGCACCAGGCCCTTGTGCACCTCAGTGCCTTCACACGTGCTATTTGTTATGGGGAATACCATTCACCCTCACCACCCCACTGTCTACTCTACCAAATGCCTCTTCATGGGGCTGAGGATGTGGCTCAAGTGGTAATGTGCTCGCCTGGCATGTGTGCAGCCTGGGTTTGATCCTCAGCACCACATACAAACAAAAGATGTTGTGTCCACCGATAACTAAAAAATAAATATTAAAAAAAATTCTCTCTTAAAAAAAATGCCTCTTCGTTCTCTTATCCTCAGCTTTCTTTGAATTTCTCCTAAGCTGAGTGAAGGTGTCTTCCCTTCATGATCCTACAACTTATATGATCACATTTACTGTTCTATATGTTGGGAAATCCCGTCTCCCTTTAGAATGGGTGCTCCTTGTGAGCAGGACTGTGCCTTTCTCATCTCTGAGTCCCCAAATCTTTGCACAGTATGGCACATAGCAGGCTTTCAACAAATGGTTATTAAATAAATAAACAGTAGTGGTCTCTGCAGGAAAAAAATCAATGTAAAAATCAGATGCTACTTGATATTTTGTCCCTTCCTTTATACTTGTAATCATAGGCTTGAAAGGGATTTTAAATGAAGTGCTTTCAATAGTAACTCCAAAGGAAGTCATCTAGACTCATCTTGAACTGTTAGCCATGAGGAGCTCAGCTACTGAACATAAGTCTATTTCATTGTTGGATCATTCAGAGGTCCTTATTATACTACTAAAGTCTGCCTTCATTTAATTTCCACCTTTTATTTCTATTCTGCCCTTAGAGAGTACGTCAAGCAGGTCTATTTCCTTTTGCAAATTCTTAGGATAGCTCGTCTGTTCATTCATCTTTAACCTCTGACTGACTACCTTCTATTTCCTCCAGGCAGACTATTTTAAATTTCCTTAAGTCTTCTCTACCTGATGTGATTTCTAAACCCAGTATCACTCAGGCTGCCATCTTGGATGTTTCTCTGTTCATGGGCCTATGCTGTGCATTATTTTCACGTACTCCCCATCCAACCTCGAGGAAAAGTAGTTGCCAAAACACTAAGAAAATTAGAGTATAACTTAGTAAAAGGTAAAGGGAGAATATATTTACAGCATTAAGCAATAAATGTTCCTCCTTTTCTATTTCTCCCTTAAACATTTTAAAAACATATTTGTAAAAGTATCTTAGTCATTCTGGTATTGGTCATTGAAATAATGAGTAGCATTTGGTAGTAGTTTGGGATCAGTACCAAGGTTCTCAGCCTCTAACATGCATAGAGTTCACCCATCCATACCACCAACATTCAGAATCTTGATGTTCACACCTAGGAGTCTATACTGTGAAGAAATACCCTGCCAGACATTGAGGATGGGGACTGAGGACCATGTTCCCTTCTAAGTACTCTAGTCTCATGAAGGCCAAACCTGTGAGCAGTTATTTGAAGCTGTATTGTAGGCTCTCAGAGCTGTTCAGACAAAGGCCTTCCAGGAATCAGTGGGTTCAGCCTAGCTGAGTCTTGGAATCATTAAGAGAGCTTAAATATTGCTGATGCCTGCCCCACCTACTGCCCAGGAACTCCTGCTTAATTGACCTGAGAGCAGCATGGGCATCTGAGTTGTCACATGCTCCCTAAGTGATTCAGGTGTGCAAGTAGAGCTGAGAATCACAGTATTGAATGAAGAGTAATATAATAAACTGAGATGATTTTAACCATCAAGGGGATTGTGAAGCAAGGAGAGAATTAATAAAATATGACGGGATATTCTCTAGAGTGGCTGTACAACAGTCCAGTCCTACAGTACTATAATTACTGCAAGTACTCAGTATTCCAGAATATTGGAGAACTGAGTTCCTGATAGATGTTAGACAAGAGGCTACTTTCCTCATTTAAGCTTCCAAAACTTTGGTTTTGATTCTAGAATTTAGTAATTGAACCAAACATAAATCTACCTTTAGGGTTCTCCTGTTTTATATTCCCCCAAAGTGTAGTAATTTGGTCAACTACCCAGAATTTTTTAATGTAATTTTGGTAAGTTTACTTTTAAACCTCTGCCTGGAGGATCATCACATTCATCTTCCCCTTCATGCAGGTCTAGCAATTTCCAAAATGTCTGGAGAGACTTGGTGGTAAAGTAAGATGGATGGCCTGAATGAGACAATCCCACTCCATTCCTAAACACCCCCCTTTCAGGTTTTCTCCACATCTCACCCTGGTCACTCCATCAGGCCCCTCCCGAAGCCCCTGCCCCACACCCACAGGTTATCACAGCTGCCCTGCCCCACAGGCTGCCTGCTCTCATTTGCAGCTTGTGAAAGTGATTTTCTCAGCCCTCTCCTGAGATAATGTCCCGGTATAATGACTTTTAGTAGACACAGAAAGAACTCTCCAGTGTGTTTACACCCGACTCGCAGCCAGTAAGGAAGCTCATAGCCAAGTGTAAGCCACTGGGAAATAGAGGAGGCTTCAACTGGCTTTTCCCTAATCTAATCTACCTCAATGACTTAGGGCTAACTGTTTCTAGAATGTTTGGTTACCAAGATAAGGTTGCTCATATAAATAAGTTATCATTGCAAGCCCAGCTCCTCACAGAACGTGGGAAGGTCAGCAGTCTGACCCCTTTGCTCTCAAGGGTCCTGCCTTTCCTCCTCTGGTCTCTCTCCTTCCCAGAGCCTGAGCCCTCTGACTTCTGGCTCATCTTCACTTATAGGCCCTGACCTCTTTGAAGTCTGATATTGATTACAGTGAGATGTCAATTTTCTGCTTGCAATAGGGCACCTGGAATTTATTCAGATAAGCAGAGGCGTTTCTAATGCTAAGGAAGCATGTTGGAAGCCATGACCTTCTTCTAAGTAATGGTGTTTCGGGAAAGGAGGATCAGGCCATTGAAGTGTCACTCTCTCTTTTTTATTAGTTCAGTTGCTTTTTCTCACCACAGGACACTGATTGAATTATGGAGCGTTTTGGTTAAAATTTTGACCATGTATCTCTGCCCTCTAGACAGAAGTTTTGGACATTGAGATAGATGGCTGCTGCAGGTTGCCTGGTTTTCCTCACTCAGACTTAACTTTTCAGGCAATAAATTTCCCTTAAGTCTATAAGTAAAACTGCTGTTTCTCTTTGTGCATTGGTGGTTGTTTTTTTTTTTCAAATAGTATTAATTTTCAAACATCCCAAGGCATCCTGAGGAGCAGGACTTGCTCCTCTAAACTTTTTTTTTTTTTTTTACTACCTCCTGATGAAAGCCAATGACTTTGATCTGTCACAAAAAGAAAGGGCTTAGTGGCTTCCTCTGCCTCTCCACATTATCTTCTTCCTTGTGGGAAATGGGGTGGGGAGAGATCTGGAGAGGTACACTAAGAAGGAAAATGGCTTAGTAATCAGGGGGGTGCCTCTCAACTAGATTGTACAAGAGAGTAAACTAGGCTTTCTAGAAAAAAGCTCCAAGGAACCTTTCTGAGTTATCGCAAGGATAGAACATTTTAGACACACAAGAGAGAAATTATTACATATACTGGAGGCAGTGGGGCTTCATTCTTTCCTAGAACCTTGTTAAAAAGGCAGGTATGGTCCAGGAAAGAAGGGACCCCTGCATCTTGCTGTGCATGTGGGATGAGGAGGCAGCTGTAGGCATCTAGCAGGGTAAAGCCATCCTCTTGGTTTTCAGAGGCTTTACGTGTGTGTGTGTGTGTGTGTGTGTGTGTGTGTGTGTTTTAATTCAGATAAGGTCCAGGGCCCAGAATGATGCAAACAAACAAAAAAGGGGTCTTTATTTTGAACCAGTTTAGTAACATCATCTCCCTTCATTCTCTATCTCAAAGTGAGGCTCCCTGACACCCCCCACGTTTTAGTGTGCAGAATTGTCCAGCATATAGACATTTCCTTTTATCTAACTGCACTGCTCATGCTTATATTCAGCAGTTCCTTCCCCACTCTATCACAGCTTCAGCAGTTCTAAATCTGGTTTGGGTCAAGTCTTTAGGGTATGATAACCAGCAGCAATATCACCTTGTTTATTGAGCTCCATCTTCTAACACCTGTCAGTGGTCAGTGGTTTTTCCATACCACTTTAGAACTTAGCTCCTTTTTATGGAGTCATTATAAGCAAATGCTGTGGTCTGCGGAGCCTCGGTGGTCTCTCTCTATATGTGTGTATGTGTCACATACACATATATAATTATGTATATATAAAATCTTATAATGTTATATTGGTTTAATGTGATCAGTAGTCTTGCTCCACATTATCCTCTCATAACCAGGATTTTACAAACACTTTCAGAGGAAGCTTGAGCACTGGTTCCTCATTCCTGGGCCCAGTGTTCCCCATGATGCCTTCCAACTGCATTCATGGTGGCCAGTCCAGCTTAAGTGAGAAGGGGATATTGTCCATCCTGCAGGGTGAACATCCCAAGTGCCTGTGCACTCAACCAAGGATAATTTAAAGTTATCAGAAATCACTATAAATGTAACTCCCACTGGAGGAAAGAGTCATCCTACCTTTGCTCAAGCACTGACTACAAATCCAGCCTGGCATTGATACCATTACTTCCCAGCATTCTTCTAGTCACTTTTGAACTCCACCATTAACTATTCCAACTAAAAAGAATCAGTTACTATCTTCTGGCCATACTGGTTGCTTTCTCAATTCTGTTCTGGATGTTGATTGAACATAGAGGGCCTACAGTGCTCATATATCTGTCCTTAACATCCATACCTCATCTCTATCTTTTGGCATTCCCAGCATCCATTAGAATCTATTTCACTTGCCTCACTTTACAGAGTTTTTCCTGACCCTTTCCACAGAAAGCTTCTCTCCCTCTTCTGAACCCTCCTGGTGCTTTCTCTGGCCTTCTGTCGTGATTGCTGTCATAGTCTCTTTGGTTATTCCTTTGCTCTGTTCAGATCCTAATGGCCTTCCCTCCTCTACCACTGAGCTTTGAGCCTCCTGACAGTGGTGGTTTTGTCCTAGACTCCTCTATATCTCACTCAGAACTTCAGTACTGTCCTGAGTAAATGTATTTTAGTTGATGTAAAAGATGAATTGGAGAGACTATCTTGAGTTTTCTTTTATAAATCTCACACTTGATGATCCAGCTATAATGTGTTACAGGTCCTTTAAAACAACAACACAAGAACTAGAAGGTCCTTCCTTCCTTCCTTCCTTCCCTCCTTCCTTCCTTCCTTCCTTCCTTCTTTCCTTTCTTTCTTCCTTCCTTTCTTTTTTTTTTTTTAAAGAAGGTCTTTTCTGAGGCCAGTGAAGTTGGGACACTCATCCACTATACCTCTTTTGGAAGACCTACAACCCATAGATCATGTGCTCAGGAGAGGAACCCATTTTAATTTCACTGAATTCATTGTCTGCTAAACTTGTGTGCCCTCAAAACCACGTTCCCCTCTGCTTATGTACTTACCCCCTGCATTACACATGCATGGGAAATTTTTGTGCTAAGGATAAGGAATTAGGACAAAGGACTTCATAGTAAAAGAACAAGGTGTTAAACCCTAGAAAGTGAGTGCCTTGGCTCTGAACAGAGGGCAAGAGAACCATCCAAATATCCCTCTCCTCCTCCCTGAATAGAACAGGGCACTTCTGCCAGATGCTAGATGGTTTGTGGAATGAAGCTGATTCCTTTTTTTTAATTGGCACTGGGAATAAACCCAGGGCCTTATGCATGCTAAGCAAAAACTACCACTGAGCCACACCCCAATCCATCTAACCCATGAAGTTGATTTTTTACAAGAATATAACCAGAATGGACTTATGACAAGTGAGTCTCAGGCAAAGCGGCTTGGCTTTCTTAAAAGCACATCTAATGAGCATTATTCACTACATGAAAAGCAGAAAGGAATTTTGTAACCAAATGAAAGAGTCTGCAAAGATGCATTACTCAGAACAGCCCCCTTGAACAAGGACAAGTGCTTCATAGAATAGCAGCTTGCTGCCTTCCCCAGGCTCCCATGATGCATGTCACCAAGTGGGTCATTCAGAAACAAACCTGGGCCTTGCAGGGATTTGGGATTCAACAGGATCTCAAAACAATAGACATACAGATTTGCTTTTTTTTTTAATTGTCTTTTTCATTTGAAATGAGTTCTACACCCAGCTAGACAAGCAGATGGTCTAAATTGTTACTGTTTTCTAACTCCTCTGCCCACTTGCTACCCATTTGACATTCTTGTTTGATAACACCCATCATGTACATGGGCAGCTAGCAGATCCCGGACCTCAGAGCCATGGCAGCTCCCTGGGAGGGAGGCCATCAGCAGACACTTCTCCGCTTATCTACCAGTGCTGGGGCGGGGCCGGAATGCAGTTTTGACTGGCGTGTGATGTTTCCTGTAAACATGAAGATGACTGCAGCCTGTGAGCCCCCCACAATGATGAAACATCCTGAGATGCAGGCGTGGGTTGGAGAGGTTCCTTCTGTCATCTTGAACAAGCCTCCCTGACTCCTGGGTCTTTGTGTTCTTTTCAGTTCCTCAGCACTTTGTTTGCCCCCCTAAACTTTGTCATGGAGAAAGTGGAAAGCATCCTCCCATCCAGTCTGTGGCACCAGCTGACGCGGATCTGAGGGGAACCACCATCCTTCAGCCTCCTCGCCCAGCTAGCTGCCACTGGCTCTTCTGTGCCAACTCCTCGTGGACTGCAAGAAAGCATGACTTTGAAAAGGGAAGCCATTCCGAGATTTTAAAATGTTCATGGACTGTCTGTTCCATATTAAAAGCTGTTTTTGTTGTACAAAATCCATTGATGTTCAGTTCTATTTTATTTTGCCTCCAGAAAAGAAGAAAAAAGTAAAAAATAAACTTTTGTGTATTGCAGCAACCAGTTGTGTCTTCTTATATATTCCTTCCAACCCTAAAAGTGTTGGTGTTCCACATAAACCTGTGGATTGACATTAATTCCCTGGATCCCAGATCCACTGAAATGCCACCCTGTGGTTTCCTTTGCTGATGGAACTCATCTCAGCAGGCCCTTAGAATCCATCACAGCTGGTAGATTAGAAAATGAAATGGCAAAACTACTAACCCCAAATCAAATATCCTCATAGGCCATGGACACACACACACACACACACACGAAAACCTTCCAGAATCAATGTCAGGGAGCATGAATGAAACAGAGGTATGTGCCTTCATAGGTTCTAGCTCAGAGACTCTACTTATTATACAGTACTCAACACTGCAGTTCCAGGAATCATTTTGTGTTCTCTGTTTGAAAACTAGTTGTGCAAAGGCAACTTCTGATGAGACTCAACCATCTATTGTAGACCCTGACTACCTACATTGCCAAGGTTTTCCCATAAGGACATTTCATAGTTTTTAATTGTGTTTGCATTCCTGATGCTTAATATGAGCATTCTTTGAGCATTTTAGTGATCTGAACCAAAATTATCATTTGTCCTCACCACCTTTAAAAAGCCTTCCACATGATTCATACCTTGCAGAGCATCTGGCTTTACTTAAGCAAGAGAAGAAAAATAAATAAACTGGAATCCTCTAACTGAAGTAAAAAGCACTTCTATTTAAAAATCTGAATCCAGTGCTTTAAAAAAGGACTGTCCTTTACATAGTTTGTTTTCCCTTTTATTTAGAATCCTGAACCTTCCACACTGTGTTATGGTCAATGGTGTGCAAGGGAGCTCTACCCAGGCTCTTTCCCAGCTGACCTGTGATTGGTTCCTGGTTTCTGCCCAAGAGCAGGGCAGAAATTGAGGAGCATGTGGCCTTCTGATACTTTGGTAGACTTTTCCTTTTTGAGCAAAGCCCTGATGGGAATATACAGGTTGCTTTTCCTCTCAAAGAAAATTTCCGGTGAGAGCTTGATCCCATATACACACCAGTCATATTGTTCTTGGGGGCAGCAGCCATATCTGCCTAGTTGAACTCTTGGCCTCTCCTTCCTGCACAAGCACTTGACAGAGTAGATGCTCAAATGATTGGGTGAATGAATTGGTGTAGTACATGATGGGTACTAACATTTTTATCTTTTTAGAGGAGAGAGATTGGCTGCAGCTGAAAAGGACCAGGAAGGCTTAGAATTGTAGTTTAGAGCTAGAAGAAAAAGAAATTGTTTAATATAATTTAAATATGATGTTTAATATGATTTAATAGATGAGGAAACAAGAGATTCTGGCCTGTTTAAGCCAGAATTCCAGATTGTGATAAGACCTAAGTGAAAGGTTTGAGAGCTGTAGGCTGTGGGAAGTGGCAATGGCCCAAAGCAAGTTGTTGATAGAAACCCCAAATTACAGGAAATGCAGCAAATAAATGTAAGCCAAGGATTTAAATGTGCCTAGTGAATTTAATAATTTGGACTTGCATGGGAAGCCGAGACAGAAGTTAGACTTTAAGGGGTAGAGAGAGTGAATAGGAGGGGTGCAGGTAGAAAACAGATGCAGCAGAGAGAAGACACAGAGGCAAGGGAGTGAGAGGAGGGATCACTGAAGAAGAGAAGTCCATGGACCAGAAGTGGAGCCAATCAGATGAGGAGAAAGGGGACATCTCTGAATTTGAGGGAAGCAAATTATATGAATTTATTAGACCTTCACCCCATAATCCAGATTGCTCTTCAGGTAGAGACCGTTATATCCGTTCTCCCTTCCTTCCACTACCTTTTCAACCATTCCACCCAACTCTTGAGCAAACCCATAACTCACTCACTTGCAGTGCTGGCCTCCCAGGGCCTGGATGCCATGGAGGTTGTTGTCTTCTAGTTCTGTCATGTTTTCTTGCCCCAAAGGACCAGTGTTCAAGCTGTTTTTATTTTGAAGGTTTTATATACCTCTGAAGAGACAAAGCCAGAGTAAACAAAATAACAGCAAAAGTGTAAACGATGATGTTTTTTGGTGCAAGCTCTTATGGTTTTTACACAAGGTCCAGGGTTCCCAACTTTCATGGAGGTGACAACTGGAATCCAAGTCTCCGTCTGCCTTCTGCTTCTATTTCTACATGAAACTGTATCAAAATCTTTTCTGATGGGCTTTTCTATGAAGACTCTTCCAACAGGAAAGTAAGTGTCCTTTACTTATAACTAATATGTATTTGGTGATACAGATGCAAGCATTCTAATTTAATATAAGCAAATTGAATCTACCAGTATATATAGGAAATAATACAGTATGACCAAATGCAATGATCTATAGGTTTGTTTTCAACTTCTTTATCAGTACTTACCAGTATCAAAGTCATTACAACTTTACAATGAATTGGGGAGCCCTTTTTATTTTTATGTGGCCTTTAATAAACCTGAAATTATTATCTGATTTCCAAATTAGATAAAATTGGACATAAAACTTCTGATTTTTGCTTTGTTAATAGTAGATTTCTCTGTAACTGCTATAGTGATCAGTTTATGCAGATTTTTCACTTCTTACTTAGTTTTTCTAGGAAATTACCATTTTCTGTAGGCATTTAACTGTTACCACAGAGTAGCAGGATGTATAATTTATGTATTTAATCTATTCTGTATCTGTGGTTATTTTTCTTTTTTTCATTCTTGATTGTATTTTTGCTGTTCCCTCTTTCTCACTTTTAATTAACCTCACAAATTTTATTTTATTCTTTCAAAGAAACAAGTTTTTGATTTACCAATGCATTCAACAATTATTTTTATGTGATTTATTAATTTCAGTTTTTATATATTTTTTGCGCATGCTAGTTTCTCTTATCTATAAGAAGTATAGTCTTTCTAATTTTCTTAGATGAGCTTGTGGTTTACTTTTATTTTATTCTAAAAACAGGTGTGTGTAAGGCTCTAATGTTTTCTGAGGTATTTTTAAAGAACATTTAAAAATTACCACAGATACAGAATAGATAAAATACACAAATTAGCTTTATTTTTCCATACATTTTACTATGAAGTATTCTCCTTTTCATTTTTTTCCCTAGAAATTTAGAAATTCCTGTTTTTGTTTTTCCTAAAGGAGTGATCATATGTGAGTATTTCCTAATAATTGATTCTCTATTACTGCCTTTAAGGAATGAGTTTTTAATGTTATTGTACAAAATCTAATGGAAACATAAAAGCACAATATACCTTATTACTTCACAGCCAGAGGTCACTTCTAAGTAAACTTTTGATCCCTTTTTTTATGTTTTTTTAAAAAAACTGTATCTTAAATGTGAAAATTTAAGGGCATTGTCAAAGTGTTGAAGACATGTTTATGCTCCTTCCATGGATTCTCCTCATTTTTCTCATTGCTCATGACATGCACTTCACCAAGCTGAAACAAACCTGTATGCTGAGTCCCCCCACCCCCCAAGAGCTGAGAGCTGCAGGTGAGTGGCACCTTTAGTAAGTACTGAAAAGGAGAAGCCGTTTTGATTCTGCTTTGCAGTACTGACAGCTAGGGCTGGTTGTTCTAGGAGCTGAACTGTCTGGAGGGCTAGGGGTTGGGAGGTCTAAACCATGCTTGAAGGACCTAGTCTTGCCATTCTGGGTTTTGAGGTTTGGGATGGCTAAGGCTGAGCAGACAGAAACAGTTGAAATGAAAATGCCCAAGTAGAGGTGGAATGGACCTCTACCAGAAATGTTCTGGATAGCTGCATAGGCTTGAGGGATGATGACCTTCAGGTGACTTCAGTTATCTCCTTCAGAGTAATATCCACAACTCTCCAGCAGGACCAGAGACGGCAGACAGGCAGCAAGTTCTCTTCCCCTCTTCTCCATCTTGTCTCCTGTCATGTTTACTCCCAGTGGGTTCCACAGGCCCTTAGGTCCCACCATGTATGTAACCCACCTTAGGAAGAAAGTTGTGGCATTATATTATCAACTGACTGTCATTAAAAGGCAAGCAAGCCTCAAGAGTGTGTTTTTGTCCAGGGAAGGGGCAATACAGGGGTTTTACAGAGTGTGTAAGGAAAATAATTTTTAAATGTTCTTTAAAAACACTGCTTTCTGCTCTGAGCCCCCATCCCACTAAGCCAGGGGAATTTCATCTCAGTTGTGAGCAGGGTTCTGTCCACCCCCAGACTGGATCTGCATTCAGAAGGGCCATGTCCTGGTTGCTTCTAAAAACATTGCATTGTTCAGGTTCATAGCATTTCTGATGCCCTTGGCTACCTGCTTTAGTGGTATGCACAAGCTATAGGACCTCAGTGTTCCCCTGGGACCAGGTTCCCCCTATGTGTTTCCTGACACCCCCTTCTGAGGTCTGGGTGCTGCCTTTCAGCTTCTGATGTCTTCCCCACAGACACATAGGACATCTCTACAGGCCCCTCCAACTACAAACTCTTTCAGGCTGTTTCTGCCTGATGACTTTCAGGAACAAAACATTGCAAACTCTGGGCTCCTCCTTGAAATGGCAAAAGGAAAAATGCAAGAACAAACATGAATTAACATCTCTAAAATATTTGCTCTACAAATCAGATAAACTCCTTCACATTCAGTGCAAATTAGATTCATTTGTCCACTCATTCCTTCACTAAAATTATCGAGGACCTCCTATGTGCAAAAAATATCATCATGCCTTTCCAATTGCACCTTAAATGGCAGTACTTTTCATGATGCTTACTTTGTATATTCACCTGTCTGTCTCCTCCACTGAACCACAAGGAATTTGATTTCCACGGTATGATATTCTGAGGGTACTAGACACTCATAACATAGCTCACTCCTGGGACCAGGTCAAATGAGGATTTTTCCCTACCAGCAAGCAATTTTACATTGAGCATCAGCTGGGCATTCTCTACTCTAATCCAATTGTGGTGTTTGTACCTGGAGATAGTGGCAGATTTTGCAGGTTGAGGCCTTAGTCCCAAAGACTGCCCTCACTTCAGACACCAATCAAAAGCCTGGGACTACAGAACTGCTGACCTCCCAGCTAC